CGGGCGCAGCGGGCAGCCTGCTGCCTTCCCCTCTCTGTTTTCCGTGCTCGTGCTGGCCCTGCTGTTTCTTGTAAATTTTGGCCCGTTTTCTTTTCTAAAAGTATCTTTCCTCCCCTTTCCTCTCCCAGTGTCCACAAGGGAGCCAGGGATGTCCCCCTGCCCGGAGAAAGCCCCGTCCCCCAGCCATTTTGGCCCCCTCCGTTGTCATGTTCTCCCCATGGGCCTTTTTGCTTCGGTTAGGGAGCTCCCAGCTCCGGGAGGGCAAGGATGGAGGCTGCTCTTCCTTCCCCTCCCCTTCCCCAAGCACAGGGGTTTTGCTTTGTCTTTTTTTGCTTTTTTTCCCCCCAGTTTCTTTATAAGTGCGTGATCTTCAGACCGTGCTTCCTGGGCTCACTGGGGCGAATGATGATGTTTTAGGTCCTACATCATGCCTCATGATTCTTGGTGTAAATCTGGGGTCCCTTGAAAGTGCAAGCTGTGATGTTTTGAAAGTCATCTGCCTGAAGATGCTGTTTCTTACCTGGAAACACGGTTTAACTTTGGCTCGACGTGCACCTTTGGGAGAAGCTCCTTGACCTGCCGTTCTATTTTGGTGCTTTGGATCTGGCAGTATTTACTTCATGCCAGTGGAAACAGTTTGTTCAGACAGAGGCACAAATCCTTCCTTTTGCTCTTTGCGAACCTGAGGTTGCAGCATGGCAGCAGCGTGGGCCAAGGGGGGACGGAAACCCAGATCGACATCGCGGTGGCATCTGGGGAAGGGGCAGTGGGGCCACCGGTGCCTTTCCCCACATGCAGTGACAGGTCGTGCCGTGCCCCTGTCCTGCTGCCCATCCGGTCGCTGGCTCCCGAGTGAGGGATGAGGTGCAGGACGGGTCCGGTGCCGCGCTGCTGCGGTGGGGACGGAGCGCTGTGCCAGCCGTGTCCCCCGCCGGCCGCGCTGAGCCGCTTGCTCCTCCCCGCAGGTGCCTATTGCCTCTCCGTCTCCGACTTCGACAACGCTAAGGGGCTCAACGTGAAGCACTACAAGATCCCCAAGCTGGACAGCGGTGGCTTCTACATCCCCTCGCGCACCCAGTTCAGCAGCCTGCAGCAGCTCGTGTCCTATTACTCCAGTGGGTACCACCGGCCGCGGGCAGAGAGCGCCCGGGATGGATGGAACCGGGATGAGATGCTGGCCCAGGAGACGTGTTGAGGCTGGCGCAGGGCGAGGAGGCGGTGGTGGCCTTGACTGGGCTGTGGGGTGTCCTCGCGTGGAGGGGTAATGGCCTCATCCCTTCGTCCTTGTCCTCCTCTCACAAGGAGAACCAGACCCACGCCAGGGGATGAGTGCTTGGGGTTGAGAGAAGCAGTGAGAGAGCAGGCGAGGGGACCCTGCCTGGATTTTAGGGAAGAGGGGAAGGGTCCGGACACAAGTCACTCAGATGCTCAGCTGGGAGGATGTGGGGTAAAGTTGTCGGGTGAGAGCCCGAGTGTCACTCTGGCTTCCTCCCCTGTGTCCCAGAGCACGCCGATGGCCTGTGCCACCGCCTCACCAACGTGTGCCCTACCTCCAAGCCCCAGACGCAGGGCCTGGCCAAGGACGCGTGGGAGATCCCGCGGGAGTCGCTGCGGCTCGAGGTGAAGCTGGGGCAAGGCTGCTTCGGAGAGGTGTGGATGGGTAAGGAGCGCTGCAGTCCGGCACCCGGGCACCTGGGCATGGGCCCTGGCACCACAGGGAGCCCTGGGGGGCAGGATGAGGAAGAGAGCGGCTGCTTTTGTGCCCTTTGCAGAACGGGCCACAATCTCCTCAGCCCAGACGGGGTCTTTTCAGCGAGATCTCTGGAAGCTTGGCCAGCAGCAAGTCTGGATGGTGTCCTAGCCTCCCGGCTCAGGGATTTGGGGTGAAGGAAGGAGTTGGATGCAAGGGGTGTTTCTTTTTCTTGGGAGCTTCTCTTCTTTTTCTTGGGAGCTTCCTTAGTCAGGGTGGATTGAAGGGATGCAGAGTGGCCTGGGATTAGTGCAGCATCCTCTCTCCCTGGCCATCTCCATATGGCTTAAACCTGCAGTGCTGGAGGGAGCAGGGACACAGCCCCGTGCCCTGCAGGCAGGGGCAGTACCTGAGTGGCCTTGGCCTTGTGCTTCAGGGACCTGGAACGGCACCACCAGAGTGGCCATCAAGACCCTGAAACCCGGCACCATGTCTCCGGAGGCGTTCCTGCAGGAGGCCCAGGTCATGAAGAAGCTCCGCCACGAGAAGCTGGTTCAGCTCTACGCCGTGGTTTCAGAGGAGCCCATCTACATCGTCACTGAGTACATGAGCAAAGGTGAGCGCCTCCAGGCAGCGAGAGCTCCCCGGGCAGAGCTGATCCCCCAAGCTCTCGAGCTGGGGGCATCCAGGCGCCCGAGCTGGCTCTGCTCCTCCACAGGTCACTCCCTGTTGTCTTCCTCGCAGGGAGCCTCCTAGACTTCCTGAAGGGAGAGATGGGCAAGTACCTGCGGCTGCCCCAGCTCGTGGACATGGCGGCTCAGGTGGGTTTGGGCTTCCCTGGATCTCCTGCTCCTTGGGCATCCTGCCTTAGCAGGATTTGCCAGGCTGTTGTGCCCATCATGTGGGGCCAGCTACGGTTGAGTCACAGGGTGATGCGGAGCCTGGCGCAGCTTGGCCTGAGGATACAAAATCCCACGTGAAAAAGCTGTGCAAGGCCCATGCAGGGCCTTCCTCTGGGGTGCTGGCAGTTCCCTGGGGCCGTGGCATCACCCAGGTGGCATCAGGGAGCTCTGGTGTGCCAAGTCCCATAGCCACTTGTCATGCTCTGCTCCGCACGGCCACAGATCGCGTCCGGCATGGCCTACGTGGAGAGGATGAACTACGTGCACCGCGACCTCCGCGCGGCCAACATCCTCGTGGGGGAGAACCTGGTGTGCAAAGTGGCCGACTTCGGCTTGGCGCGGCTCATCGAGGACAACGAGTACACGGCCCGGCAAGGTGCG